GGGATGACGATAGCTACACAGCTACTCAGAACTGAGAGCGTAGGACAGACAAAAGCAGTGAGGCGACGTGTTGAGTGAGGGAGCAGGAAGAAAGATGGGCAGGAACACATTTGAGAAAAGTTATAAAACCTCCCCGCGGCGAAACAGAACATATTTGAGAAAAGTAATAAGCCCTCCAGGCGGCGAAACCTTTGAATTCATTTCACCCCAAACGGGGCAAAAAGTGCCGAAGGTCCCAAAATGAGCAGGTCCCAAAGTGAGTTTTGGCGTCAATTTTGCAAGCCGCAAAACACTTTCCCGCCATTTTGCGGGCAAAACCTTTGAATTCATTTCACCCGAAACGAGGCAAAAAGTGCCGCTGGTCCCAAAATTAGTTTTGGCGTCACCCCGCACAACACTTTCCCGCCATTTTTGCCAGCGGCCGTTACCCGCCCAGCGAGGGTGTAAAAATGACATAAAAAGTCATTAACGGAAAGGTCAAAAAACGTCCCCGCCATGAAACGTTTGTATCCACGTCCCCCCAAATGGGGAAAAAGGTGCCGCAGGCCCCAAAATCACTTTCGGGGCACACTTTCCCCCCATTTTTACATAGCGGCCTTTACCTGCCCAGCCAGGGTGCAAAAATGACACCAAAAGTGAATTTGGGACCTGCGGCACTTTCTTTCCTGTTTGGGGAGAAATGGATACAAAGGTTTCGTCCCCGGGGAGGTGTTATGACTTTTCCCAAAAATGAATCCGGTGCAGATACAGGGCCAGGTCCATGATCCGGTATGAAGTGGGCCAGCAGCAGTCCCGACCCAATCTTGGCCGCCAGATTTGTGCATCCCATGGCCTCTGTTGCCCGTGAGCACTTTTTACCACGTAGGAAATATTTGGGCACCCAAAACCAAGAAGGTTTCGGCATGGGCGCATTCCACCAATTATCCCTCGATAGTTTGAAAAAAATGGGCTCAAATCTGTTGCTCCAGCTGATGGGAGCTGCTCCATGTCGAAGATGAGTGTAAGACCCTGATCCCAGCTCCATGTAGTGCTACAGTCTTCCCCCTAATACAACGTATGGTCATTATAGCTGAATTTGGGATATCTTTCAGTCTAAATTCAGCTATAATGGCCGTACCTTGTATTTGGGGGAAGACTGTAGGACAAGATGGAGTTCGGCATCTGTTGTGCATCTATGGGCCTCGCTGGGATACTCTCCACATGCTCAAAAGACAACAGATATGGCAGTGTACCTTGCCATGTTCTAGGGAAGGATTCATTCTCATTTTTGCACATTTGGTGAGTGGTGGATTGAGGCAACGTAGCCATGATTCACGCCTTGCTCAACTACTCTCCACATGCACAAAAGACAAAAACCATGGCGATGTATCTTTCTATGTTCTAGTCCAAGATTCATTCTCATTTTGCACATTTGGAGAGAAGTGGAGGGAGGCCCTCAGTCTATGTGAGGACTCCGGCACAGGATTTTTCTTTCTAAAATTCAACTCAAATGTCGGATTTCATGTAAAAAAAGATAGACTCGAGCCCTGGGATCCTCAACATTACACCCGGGGGCTTGGTCCCACCTGCGCATTTTCGTTGTAGGAGGCTACACAAGAGAATGGCGGGCGCCTAAGGACCATGGATTGACACAATCGATAGTCCCTAGACACGTGCCAGTTGCTTCGTGGTAGCCTCCTACAACGGAAAGGCGCAGGTGGGACCGGGGTCGGGGCGGCAAGGCCATGTCCCACTTCCACGCTTGAGTCGAGCTAGCATCCGAGGCCCTGTCCCACTTACACCTTCGAGTTGAGCACGGTCAAGGCCATGTCCCACTTACACCTTCGAGTTGAGCGATGTCAACCGTGTGTCACAGTTATTATGAATTAAAAATTCAAACATATGCGGCAAAAGAGAAACAAATGCAGCTACAAGCTTTTGTTCACATTTTCCAAAAAGTAATATGGCGAAAAAATTGCCGCTGAATGCTTTGTCCATATTTTCCAATAAGTAAAATGAAGAAACAAAATATTCCCAGTCAAAGGCTCTGTGAACAGCACGTGGGAAGTTTTCTTGCCTCAGCGCATTCACAGCCCATGGGGAGGAAACCAATTTTTATCCCACAGCCGTCAGAGTGAAAATAATGAGGCAGAATTCAGGAGAGACATCATCAACAGTATCTGTCAGATTCTTACACTGCGGCTATCAGAGTGTCCTCCTCCCACAAAGAGGTAATGACTGTTCAGGGTTGGTGCTAACCCAGGCAAAACCGGTAGGTAGGGCAGGGGGCGTTGTATTCGGGGAATCATTTTCCTTTTCCTTTCTTTTTTTTTACAAAAGCAAGGCCGAAATTGTTTGCCAAATATACCAACGAATTCCACGGCCCGATCCACAGCAACAGGTGTGATCTTGGCGGTTGCCTGCGGCCACACACGTCACACGCGTAATAGAATACTCATCCTTGAGCTGGTTAGTTCAAGGGCAAATTGCAGATATACCGCTTCAGAGAAGTATTGCAGCAAAAATACCCGTCTGCCGTCTGCCCGTGTTTTGTGACAAATATGCCTGCAAAGTTGCAGTAATACCCTTTTTGACGAGTCTGTAATACACGGGCAGTACCTCCTTTTGCAACAGACGGCCTGCCTGCCTTGGAGTGCTTGCCTTAGGGCCTCACCACACCAGTGTAGAAACCGTGAAACATTCAACAACTGTCAGACCATTTTCGACATTCAAGGTTTCTACACAAAGGGCCTCGCCGCACCACTGTCGAAAATGCAATTTTTGACAGTTTCTCTTCGCCACAGGCTGTCGAAGTCGGAGACGGGAAAAAAATTCTCCAGTTGTCAGAGCATGCTTCTCGACAGCTCCTGTCGAAAGTTGTTGAATCCCCAGCCTGCTACTCCCATACTTTCGACACTCCTCGGCTCCGTCGACTTCTCTTCGAAATTCGGTGAGGGGGCGTAAGGTCTGGATGGACTAATGCTTGTCCTAACCTCTGGCGCGTTCGTCTTTTTCCATGTTGCATTCACAACTGCGTGCACTCTACAGTGCTGTGTGGCTAAAGGGGGGCAAACTGTGGAATGGAGGCTGTCGAATTTGCTCTGACAGCCGTCGAATTTTTTCGCCTTTCGACTGTGGTGCGGCGAGGCCCAAAGCCTGCCTTCGCCACACCGTATGTCGAAGACCCAGGATATTAAGCAAAGTTTTGTTGTTAGAAAAGGGGGCAAAAAAAAAAAAAAGAACAAGAAGAAGACACGGGATGTTGAGGCAGCGCCAGTACCCGGACCCTGATAGGTGTTGAAATCTGCACATCCTTCACAACCTCGTTTCCAAGATGTTGAAACTCGACCCGCTGCAGCACCCATGTCGAAACCACTTCTCTGACGATTGTCGAAGTGTTTTCGACTTTTTTTCTTACAGTCTGTGTGGAGAAGAGAAAATGTCGAAAACTCCAGTTTAGACATTGGTGTGGCGAGGCCCTTAGGCCAGGCTGACGGGGTCTCTGTCACGAAAGACGGTACAGACCTGTACATGTAAATCTGCGTGGAAACTTTCCGAAAAGGGTGTTTCTGCACCTTTCCTGGAATATTTGTGACCATACAAACCGGTATTTCTGAAATTTGCCCCTAGTGCAACGATGTAAGTTGGGCATGGGCCTCGGACGGTATCTGGACGCATCGTCCAGCTTAGCTTACAGGCATTGGACTGCAAGTCTTTCTCTGAGGCTGCGCGCAGCTCCAAGGGCGACAAGGGCTAATTTTATGTTTTTGCAATACATACGGATTTCTCCAAAAAAAAAAAAAAAAGTAATCACCCTGAGACGTTAAATGCAGGGAATACTGGGAGGACTTCCTTTTTCCTTCTTTTTTTCGAAACAAAAAAGGTCGACGGCCTTGAGAAATGATGATTGAGCTGACCTGCCCCAGGTAATTCACAAAATTCCAATGCGGTCCAATGCGGTCAGACAGTAGGACTTTTTGGAATGAGCTCTGCCCACAGTTGGGGTCAGGAACATCAAAGATAGGGCAAAACTGCGATCACATGCATGCAGTAAATGTGAGTACGCCCTCAGAGACAGATAAATGCCCACAGCGTATTTGATTTTCTTTAAATCTTGTATCATTGAAATTTCTTTTATTTTTAAGTTTCATCTTTGCGCATGGGGCTCTGAAGGTTACAATCCTCAGGGCATACTCACACTAGGACGTTGTGCTCTTAAGCTGTGGAGGGGGGGCAAAACAGGGCGCACATACACACAGAACGTGCACAGAGCAGGGTGCACATACACACATTAACATGGACAGAGTCTCTCGTAGACAGCAATAGACAGCAAAACCCCCCACATGAACATGCACATAGTCTCTAAGCTGTGGACGCAATTGTGGTTAGATTCATTTGGGTCTGGCTGTTAATGCAGTCAGATACATTAAGAAAAGTCCTCGTGTGAGTATGATGCCCTAAGAACCCAACACTGCGCTGAGGAGAAGAAGACAGTCTGTACTCTCTTGCACCCACCAATGCACATTCTCCATGGACCCACAACGCACGGCAGTGGAACTCTGCCAACTGCTCCCTCAAAGCACGTTCTCAACAGCTCATGACGACTCAGAGGATAGCACACTAGGCCATTTGTGCATGTATTGGGCCGCAAGTACAGCCACACATGGATGCATCTGACCAGTGTCCGTTCATGAACGGGGGGTATGTGACCGGAGGCTAGTCACCGTTCGCGAGAATCCTGACCTGTCTCCGAACACGGCGATCACGGTGAGCGGGAAGGCCTTTATTGTTTTTTTTTTTCAAATAGGGCGTTGTTTTTTTTTACGCAAGGGGAGGGGTACGTGTTGGAGAACCCCCCTAAATTTTTTTATTTTTTTTTTTTCTTACTATTCATGTTTTTTTTTTTTTTTTTTTTTGCCAAACCCCCCCATGTGTGTGTGTGTGTGTGTGGGTGTGGGTGTGGGTGTGTGTGTGTGTGTGTGTGTGACGGCCAAGATCACACCTGGGGCCCGTCACCGTTGGTGCGTCCCCTTAAACTAACTAGCTCAACATGAGGGTATATCTGCAATTACACACAGAGAGAGAGAGAGAGAGAGAGAGAGAGAGAGAGAGAGAGAGAGAGAGAGAGAGAGAGAGAGAGAGAGCCTCATTGTGAGTGTATCCAACCCTGCCCGTCAGATTTGTACATTCGACCTCACATGTAGCCTACTTGTGGGCTCGAACGTATACATCTGACCGACAGGGTCAGATGCACTCACAATGAGTGTGTGTGTGTGTGTGTGTGTGTGTGTGTGTGTGTGTGTGTGAGAGAGAGAGAGAGAGAGAGAGAGAGAGAGAGAGAGAGAGAGAGAGAGCACCTGGTCAGGAGGCAACTTGAACGGCTCAGGCCCTCAGGGCATCATTCTCACACTACTGTGAGCTGCATTACCACAATCATGTGATGCCACAACACATTTAAAAAAAACAGAATGGCGCAGCATATCACAAACCCGCAGCAATTCCAAAAAAAAAAAGTAAAAAACCACAGCAGCATGCCAGCATTTTCCGCTGGAAAACAATTCCCACCTCCATAGTCCCTCCCTCCCTCGCTTCCTTCCAAACTCTTTCTTGTCTCCACCCGCCACTCTCTCTCTCTCTCTCTCTCTCTCTCTCTCTCTCTCTCTCTCTCTCTCTCTCTCTCTCTCTCTCTCTCTCTCTCTCTCTCTCTCTNTCTCTCTCTCTCTCTCTCTCTCTCTCTCTCTCTGTGTGTGTGTGTGTGTGTGTGTCTCTCCATCCCTTCCCTCCTTGAATTCAGCCCCCCCGGCGTCATGATAGCAGTTGAAAATAAAGAACAAGGAAGGAAAAAAAGGAAGGAGCACCTCTATGGACGTGAAAGCAGCTGGATACAGAATCTTGGGCACATGTGAGAGTATGCCCTCCCAAGCTCCCCTCTCCTCATGGTGTGACTCAAGTGCTACAAAAAGGCAGCCTGAGTTTCAAATGCATTTGAAACTCGGGGAGGCCCTGACTGAAGTGGGACAATGGTGTTTCAAACGGGTTTACAAACTCTAACCCTGACCCCACCGTAGTTTTCTCTGTTTTTTTTTGCTGGGATCTTTCCTGGTCCTTGCACGTCCGGGCCGCCCGGGAAAACAGGGTGACCCGGAAGGCCTGGCTGGTGCCTAACTTTGTGGACCAGGCATCAGAGGATCATATAGCAAGAAACGAACAGAAAAAAAAGACACTAGATTTGAGACACAATTTGGGACCCCGATTTCGTGAAAGGAAAGAGAATTGTCAGTTTCAGTTTTAACAAAGTGGCAGTTAAGAGAAAGAGATGTTACGATCCTGGTCATTCCCAAAGTGCAAATTCACAATGAAAGACAATGCCACCCGATTGCGAAAGAAATGAAAGCACTTGCAAAGAGATAGAGAGTCAATGACAAATCCCCCTTCTCTCTCCACCTTCCTCCTCCTCCTTCACTTCGCCAATCTTATTCTTCTCCCAATAATAATAATAACAATGAGTGGGTTAACCAGAATCAATATCCGAAGTTCCCTCTTACTGCTGCCAGAACAACAGGTCCTCCACAGCCATGGCTTCCCCCCTTCTTCCTCCGCTCACATGCCTAGGCTATGGAGGACTACTGAGGGCCCTGCCCTCCTGTCCAAAGGACAACCCAAAGCAGCTATGACGCGGCACTCCTGTCCAAAGGACAACGCAAAGCAGCTATGCCGCTGCTCACTAAGCCGCCATGCCTGACTCTGCCTCGAGCTTCCTTTGTCTAGCACTACCACAACCGGGGCCTTCCAGATGCAGCGCTCAACAAGGTGATGAAGATGGTGTCCACCATAGCCAGGTTGGTGCCTCGCCACTCTCCTCCTTCGCCCCCTTCTTCCTCCTCCTCAGGCTGGGCTGCTCGCCATAGCCAAGCTGAGCGCCCAGCTGCTCTTCTCCTCCAGGCAGCGCTCTTCAGTCCAGCGCTTCGCTCCAGCAGCATGTCGCCAATCCTTGCATACTGCAAATGAGGAGAAGCTGCTTGCTCCTCCCGAAGATATAGCGGCCTACTGGCCTGTTGGGCGGTGACTTCCTAGGCCGAGCGGCCTCCCAGCAACCGGTGTCGGGCGGCCGAAGGTTAGTCGGCCACCCGAAATCCGATGGATTAACCCTTAGTTTATCTACCTAAAGAGGGATTGACCGCCAGTGCCATACCCCCGTTCACCGTTCACGGGGTCTGTGACCGGAGACCGGTCATGGAGTTCACGGAGTTCATGGAGTTCACGGCAGTGCCGGACCCGTGAACGTGACCGGCACCGGTCACTTGAACGTGACCGGCCATTCATTTGGTGTTTTTTTTGTGAACGGCCGTTCACTGTGAATGGGCGGACCACCAACAAGCCCAGCTCAATTGGTACACCGGTGAACTGTTGAAATACAGACCCATGTTCAAGTCCTGCTTTGGACCTTGATGAATGGAATAAATCATTCTGAATTACCAAGGGGTGGTCCGATCAATGAAGATATCCCACGGCTGTCGCCCTTTAAAAAAAATAAAAAATAAAAAGAACGGGCCGACCACTAAAGAGTGGTTTTTTTTTTTTTTTTTTTTTTTTTTTTTTTGGGCTCCTCCAGGGGCCCGGGCCGACTAGCATCTATTCGCGTCGGTTTGGAGTAGTCTTCGACAACGTGTGGCCTCCAGTGACACGCATCAGTCGTTGATGTCGATTGTAAATCGGTGGCCACTTGCTTTCCGCGAGATGTAGTGTAGTCCAATTTCGGTTCACCCAATGAGCGAAAGGGCCCCGTATTTTTCAACAATCCGAAAACTGCTTTCTCAATGCATCGTAGACGTGATATCACGTCTTTTTTTGGGGGCGGGCGATATCGCGTCAGCCCGGACCGTAAGTTGCATCGAAAAAACGAAAATGTTTTGATGGTAAGGTCCACATTCAATGTTCGAAATAATAGTATCCCGTGTTTATAGCTGTCAGTCATAATGCCATGCCCACCAGACCGGTCCCGTGCGGTGACAGAATCTATCCCCGTCCGCAACTTTCCCGAAAGGGAAAGCGGATGTGGATGCGGAAACGTCACTGGCTGCATGGTGCTGTACGTACCGCGGCCTCACTTTTGCTCTCCGTACGGAAGGATTGCCATACTGAAGGAAGGAAGGGTGTACGACGACTCCGCAGCTGCTGCGTTATCTTTGTGCACGTACTTCTTCCTTAACGCCATCCACGCACCTTTCCGAACGCTGAGGACGGTTTCCATCTCTTTGTGTGGCTTCCAAGTATGCCGGCTGAAGGTGATCACGAAGGCCTGTCGTGCATCCAAGACTGGGGCTGCAGTGGATCCCAAGTGCCACCTGCACAGGGCCATGGGACATTCACTGTCCAAGCAGTGGACCAGCAGGCGCAGTGGTCCCACGACGCCTACGGGACGAGGGCCCATTTCTCACAGAGTTCCGCATCACAAACATTTGCTGCCCCAGTTGGTGGGACAGGCCCACAGGTGGGACTGTCTCCGGTCCCGCATGAAGCAGTGGGCCACTGTTCCCCCGTCGCTGGCACTTCTGTGCACCATCGTTCATACGGACCATCTGGTGACCCCTTCTCCTCATCATTGCAGCCTGTTGGCGGTTTCACGTTCGGTGTGGGTGGAGAAGACGAATACGCACTCCGATCGCAGCTGAGAAGGCGTGCAATGGCCATGGCTGGAGCCTCTGAATCGGATCTCCAGCACAGCCCTGCATGTTTTTCCCGTGATCTGTTTAGCGGGCAGCACAGGAACAGTGACAGTCTCCCTCCGGATGGGCAGCCAGTGACACCCATCAGTCCACAAGCCCCGACACCACAAACCAGATGTCATAGCAGCGGTGGGGGCGACGGAGGACAGCGTCAGCAAGGTGGAGAAGATTACATAATCAATAGATTAATTCGCAATGTTGAAGCCGGTGATTTGTCCTCACAGGATTGCGGTGCGGGAGATGGTCAGAGGGTTGGGCAACCGTCACTCTCCCCATTTGTTGGTGCCTCTCCCAGTGAAGGTGACAATCTGGGGGCAAGTGGTGGCAGTCCCAACGTTCCTACCGGTGTAAATGCCCCACAGCCCATACCCTCGCCCCCCGTAAGTTCCAGCGGGACGTCAACACCAGCTCGACATGAAACCTCCGCAGGACGGCCATCTCCAGCGGACAAGAACTCCGATCGTTGGGGGGAGGAGGAGACTGCAGTGCTTTGCAGGATTCGAAATGAGGTGAAACAGCTGATGGGTGAGGAGACGGAGGCGTATGGGAGGGCTCGTATCAAGTCTGGTTGTTGGAAGATGGTCGCACAGCGCATGAAGGAGAATGGAGTGAATCGCTCACCTGACCAATGCAAAAACAAGTTCAATCAAGTTCAATACTTTTACAGGAGACTCAAGGGTCATGAGAGGTTGTCTGGTCTGCCCAGTTACTGGGACATGAATGCTAGTACGCGGAAGGTGTACAATATTGATTTCATCATCCGCTGCAGTTGGTATGACGCCATCAATTCCGCAGAGAAGGACACCGACTCCATTACTTTGTCTGATCTTAGGGATCCGGGCACTGAGCATATGAGCGGAGGGAGGAGGAGGAAGGAGCAGGCGAGGAAGACTGGCAAGCAGAACTTCCTACAGACGAAGACGGGCCGGGTGCTGCAGGTGGGCCATCGGTGAACGAGGGAACACGATCGACTGCTTTTGATCCCACGCTCGGCAAGCACAAACGGGCCGTGACGAACGCCCGCGAATCGAGTATGCGGGCTATCACTGGTGCCATGCGTGATCACATGGTCGCATTGGCGCGTTCCGACCGTGACTGCGCGAGGATGCGCTGTGACGCCACCGATGATGTTGCACAGCAGCAGGCAGAACTGCAGAGGGACCTAATGCAGCAGGACATAGCATCCCGTGAACGGACTGTGAAGGAGTACGGCGACAGGGTTGAGAACGCATATATGGCCATGGCTGAGGCTATCCGCAGTCTACGTGCACCGCACAACAACCCTCGTGACCACCATAGGAGCTCAGACGATTCCGAGTAGCGCTGATTGAATTCGTATTGTCTTTATAGTGGAGTCAAGCACTGTTTCCGTATTGTTTAAACCTGCAGATGGTCCGTAGTAGGCTTTTTGTCAATCCGAAGTGAAGTTCCATTTTGTCGTTCCCGGGGGTTATGCGAGGAGGTTGGAATCTCGTGATGGGTGTTGTTTGCTGAGTACGGTCTGTTATGTACATGACGTGCCTTGGGTTGAGCACGTCATGTGTTTGGCCACAGCTTAGAGTATTTATTAGCGTCTGCATCTTTTATTCATAGTCGACTGTGGTACTAAACAAACATGTTGAAAATGCTCTCTCTCTCTCTCTCTCTCTCTCTCTCTCTCTCTCTCTCTCTCTCTCTCTCTCTCTCTCTCTACAGTGAAACATGTGTCGAATACTGACTTCATCATGAGTTTGGCCACAGCTGCATTTCAACGTTATTGTTCGAACTTTATGGTATTGTTCGAACTTTATGCGAACTTTATGTGAACTTTATGTGAACTTTATGCGAACTTTATGTGAACTTTATGCGAACTTTATTCCGAGGCATGAAAACGCCGAGAAACGTTATTCTCAAAATGTGGCTCGCACACATGATAACCCTCTACCTATCAGAACGGCCATACCCGCTTGGATCATTTTTTTTTGTCATAACATCCGTGAAAATTGGAACGACACAGAGAAAGAAAAGATTAGCCTGTATTTGCTCTCGCTCTCGCTCTCTCTCTCTCTCTCTCTCTCTCTCTCTCTCTCTCTCTCTCGCCACACCTTTCCTCTCCCTCGTAATGGAATGATAAGGTAGATGGGAAAAAGCTCATAGCGGGCAAACGGGCCTGGATTCCGAGGCATTAAAACGGAGAGAAACGTGAATCTCAAGCAGTGGTTCCTCCACATTTTTTTTATCTATCGATCAGAACGGCCATTCGTTATTTTTCCACAGCCACACCCGCTTGGATCACAATTTTTAAGGTAGATAGAATGCTAAGGTCGATGGGAAAAAGCTCATAACGGCCGCTCATAACGGCCATACCCGCTTGGATGACACAGGCATAAAATCTCCTAATCTGAGACGTTAGTTTTTTTTTTTTTTTTTTTGGGTCATTTCTCGAACGATGACACTATGCGCTGACGCTGCTGGATTTGGTTTTGGAAAGACAAAAGAAACGGAGAGATACGGAGAGAAATTTCGTTTTGGAAAGAAAAAACTAATAGCGGTCATACCGGCCTGGATTCCTCCACATTAAAACGGAGAGAAACGTTAATCTCAAGCACTGGTTCCTCCACACTTTTTTATCTACCGATCAGAACGGCCATACCCGCTGGGATTCCACAGCCACACCCGCTTGGATCACAATTTTTAAGGTAGATAGAATGCTAAGGTCGATGGGAAAAAAATCATAACGGCCATACCCGCTTGGATGACACAGGCATAAAAAAGGAGAGAAACGTGAATCGAGAGCAGTGGTTCCTCCACATTTTTTACTCTGGCGATCACAAGATTAGCATGGCCCCACAGGCTTGAATAAGATGATCAAATGGATAGAAACATGCATCGTCAGATTCGTCACACCCACATACCACCTTTTGCAATCTTCTTATAGGAATCAATACAAAGAATACACTCACGCGTTACACATTTCAACAACAGACACACAAAATAAGCAAAAAAACAAAAAAAGTTGGGTTGTATACATGCCCTAACTGCATTTCAGACATTCTTGCGACTCCCGCGTACTTTCCTCCAAAAACAAATAGAAGAGAGAGAGAGAGAGAGAGAGAGAGAGAGAGAGAGAGAGAGAGAGAGAGAGAGATTGTGTTCAAAGGTCCGATGGTACTAAACACAATTTCATACTTCCGATTAGTCTGGGAAACACAGCAGTCGCCCAACATCAACCTGCGTAGGACACACTGAGGTGAAAGGTCCGATCATCGCCCATGGCCCTACATCTCGGAATACTCAGGGAAACACAACAGTCATGCACCTTTCGATTCAGTTTTCACAAAACCTGCTATGTCTTACTCGCCCTGAAGGACGACGCATATATGGTCCTAAAACTGCATCTATCCAACTGCCTCCTTCGTCTATCTGCTGAAAACAAAAAGTTGTCCTCACATGCTGACAGACATACAACGATACAGTGAAGAGAAGGTATTCAACCAGTACCGCTATGAAGCGGTGATTATCCACGGAAACTAATTCCGAATCGGTACCGTGCAGTACCGTGCACGTACTGCTTTGCTCCATTTAGTCCTTGCTGCCGCGTGTGATGTGAAGTCCGTGGAGAGAGCCGTGCTTGCTGCATGCAAAATGCACTCCACCATAATATGAGCTAAGGTAGAGAGAGAGAGAGAGAGAGAGAGAGAGAGAGAGAGAGAGAGAGAGAGAATCTGAGAGATTAATGGCAAAGAATGGGATAACCGACGGACCTCAGCTCATGACATAAGACGGAGAGAAAGGGGAAAAGAAAGAAAAAAAGAGGAGTCTTATGAAGCGGTGATGCTAAATGGTAGACAACACTTGCGCTATCACAAGGGGCGACCCGGTGGTGGTGGGAACTTCGCCGGAGGCCTGAACTCCCGGAGTTCCTTTTCCATGTCTTCCCAGAATGAAGGAAGATAAGTAAGGAGCTCGTTAGTCATCTGAAGTTTCACAATCTCGCTCTCCATCTCCGACACACGCGCAGTCAAGTCCTCACAGGAAACGCATTTCGACGCCTGCGCAGCAGAGGTGGAAGTGCATCTGCCGGCAGCCTTTCCTTTATCGTGGAGTGTCATGCATCCCATCCCATCACACAAATCTCTCGCCGGTGGTGGGAACTTCTGATGCGCAGTCTGACCACCATACACAATGTCGTTATAGATTCGCCAAGCCGTTTGAGCGTGCTGACGTGTCACTCGCAGATCCCTTGATGCTGCATCCAGCTGTCTTCGAACTTCATCCCGCTCCGCCATAGCTTCTCCCCACTCCGCCGCAACCGCATCCCGCTCCACCAACGCTTCCCGCAAGGCTGTAGATGTCTGATCTGCCTGCATGTGCATGTCCTCCGACATTTGTCTGCAGATGCTCTGTGACGACGTCGTCACAGCACTGCTGCAGGTTCGCTCTCGACGAACGCAGTCTTTGAACAACGGACAAAGCCCATCTCCTCGCATGACCACTCTCCTGCGTTATCTCAGTTTCACAAACTGCTCTGCCATGTCGCATACGGACGGTGATACTATCACCTCTCACCACCAAGAACTTGTACAGACTTTCGACCTCCCTCTCTGTCTTCTCCAATTCCTGCACCAACGCATTCCGCTCCCTCACATAATCCCTCCAAGTGTCATTCCCTGCCATGGTGTGCGAGCGCGGAACAGCAAGGGAAGGCTACGACAGACCTCAGCCAACAACAAGCACAACTCGACTTGTCATGAGTGTGCAAATGTCATCCGTGCTAAATACCCCGGAGAAGGAGGTGGACTGCATCCGATCCACATCTATAGTTCTTTTTTTTTTTTTTTTTTTTTTTTTTCCGAAACGATTAAACTTGGTTGCGGATGTGGAACTGTCGAATGACCTCTGCACACAGTGCATCCCTCATGGCCTGACCGTTCTCCCTCCCGAACATGAAGGGGAGAAGAGCAACGTCCGCTTCCGGGGGGGCATTCCTGAACGGAACCTGAGGAGAGGCGGCGTCGGACGCGTCATCATTATCCACAGGGACGTCCCCCCATTCCTGGAATAGATTATGCAGGATACAACAAGCATGAAATTCCAACCCCTCCCTTTTGATGTCCGTTATGTGTGGCCGGTAGAAAAACTGGAACCTCATCTTGAACACACCAAAAAACCGCTCCACAGCAGATCTGACAATCTTGTGGAGGTTGTCGGACAACGTCATGTCCGCTGTCACGATGGGGTGCAGGGTTCCGTAGGGAATGACAAGCCATGGCAGACTCGGATAGCCTCCGTCACCCAACAAGTACCCACCTGGAACACCAACAATCTCAGGCCTCTCACCGCGGAAGGGGTCGTTCGGGACATCCAAGAACAACGACCCCTTCAGCGCCGTCCTATACATAGATGAGTTCTTGAGGGCACGTGCATCGCCAACGGTCCCTGGGAAACCGTAACAGAAGTCAAGAAATTTGAGATCGGAGTCAACCACCAATTGTGCAACAATGGAGAAGCGATTGTTCCGAAACAATACTCGTCTCTGTCCCTGCGTCGAGGATTGTCCATGTACACATGAGTGCAGTCAATGCACCCCCAACAATTAGGGAAACCCAAAGCGGCAAACTTCCGCATCCTCTCGTCACGCTCAGCAAAACCACCAAACCCCACCACATTCGGGTA